GAATGGTCCCCAGGACTATATGCGACTGAAAACTCACAGTTTTCCATCCAGGAGCAAATGTGAAATAATATGTTCGAGTCACTTCTGGGGTGTGAGTTTTCAGTCATATATATATATATATATATATATATATATATATATATATATATATATATATATATATATATATATATATATATACTGAAAACTCACACCCCAGAAGTGACTCGAACCCATACTCCCACAACTGGTATGTACAGGGACGCCTTAATCCGCTTGACCATCACGACCGGACAATAAGGAAGTGATAGCCGAGGCTATATGAACCACTTCCCCGCCGGCACTCGGATGGTAATCTTGGGCATAGCATTTTATCAAATCACCTCATTCTTTGGGGCACACGTGAGGAACACAAATGCAAACAAGCCTGAATGGTCCCCAGGACTATATACAACTGAAAACTCACACCCCAGAAGTGACTCGAACCCATACTCCCACAACTGGTATGTACAGGGACGCCTTAATCCGCTTGACCATCACGACCGGACAATAAGGAAGTGATAGCCGAGGCTATATGAACCACTTCCCCGCCGGCACTCGGATGGTAATCTTGGGCATAGCATTTTATCAAATCACCTCATTCTTTGGGGCACACGTGAGGAACACAAATGCAAACAAGCCTGAATGGTCCCCAGGACTATATACAACTGAAAACTCACACCCCAGAAGTGACTCGAACCCATACTCCCACAACTGGTATGTACAGGGACGCCTTAATCCGCTTGACCATCACGACCGGACAATAAGGAAGTGATAGCCGAGGCTATATGAACCACTTCCCCGCCGGCACTCGGATGGTAATCTTGGGCATAGCATTTTATCAAATCACCTCATTCTTTGGGGCACACGTGAGGAACACAAATGCAAACAAGCCTGAATGGTCCCCAGGACTATATACAACTGAAAACTCACACCCCAGAAGTGACTCGAACCCATACTCCCACAACTGGTATGTACAGGGACGCCTTAATCCGCTTGACCATCACGACCGGACAATAAGGAAGTGATAGCCGAGGCTATATGAACCACTTCCCCGCCGGCACTCGGATGGTAATCTTGGGCATAGCATTTTATCAAATCACCTCATTCTTTGGGGCACACGTGAGGAACACAAATGCAAACAAGCCTGAATGGTCCCCAGGACTATATACAACTGAAAACTCACACCCCAGAAGTGACTCGAACCCATACTCCCACAACTGGTATGTACAGGGACGCCTTAATCCGCTTGACCATCACGACCGGACAATAAGGAAGTGATAGCCGAGGCTATATGAACCACTTCCCCGCCGGCACTCGGATGGTAATCTTGGGCATAGCATTTTATCAAATCACCTCATTCTTTGGGGCACACGTGAGGAACACAAATGCAAACAAGCCTGAATGGTCCCCAGGACTATATACAACTGAAAACTCACACCCCAGAAGTGACTCGAACCCATACTCCCACAACTGGTATGTACAGGGACGCCTTAATCCGCTTGACCATCACGACCGGACAATAAGGAAGTGATAGCCGAGGCTATATGAACCACTTCCCCGCCGGCACTCGGATGGTAATCTTGGGCATAGCATTTTATCAAATCACCTCATTCTTTGGGGCACACGTGAGGAACACAAATGCAAACAAGCCTGAATGGTCCCCAGGACTATATACAACTGAAAACTCACACCCCAGAAGTGACTCGAACCCATACTCCCACAACTGGTATGTACAGGGACGCCTTAATCCGCTTGACCATCACGACCGGACAATAAGGAAGTGATAGCCGAGGCTATATGAACCACTTCCCCGCCGGCACTCGGATGGTAATCTTGGGCATAGCATTTTATCAAATCACCTCATTCTTTGGGGCACACGTGAGGAACACAAATGCAAACAAGCCTGAATGGTCCCCAGGACTATATACAACTGAAAACTCACACCCCAGAAGTGACTCGAACCCATACTCCCACAACTGGTATGTACAGGGACGCCTTAATCCGCTTGACCATCACGACCGGACAATAAGGAAGTGATAGCCGAGGCTATATGAACCACTTCCCCGCCGGCACTCGGATGGTAATCTTGGGCATAGCATATTATCAAATCACCTCATTCACTTCTGTCACTTCTGGGGTGTGAGTTTTCAGTTGTATATAGTCCTGGGGACCATTCAGGCTTGTTTGCATTTGTGTTCCTCACGTGTGCCCCAAAGAATGAGGTGATTTGATAAAATGCTATGCCCAAAATTACCATCCGAGTGCCGGCGGGGAAGTGGTTCATATAGCCTCGGCTATCACTTCCTTATTGTCCGGTCGTGATGGTCAAGCGGATTAAGGCATCCCTGTACATACCAGTTGTGGGAGTATGGGTTCGAGTCACTTCTGGGGTGTGAGTTTTCAGTTGTATATAGTCCTGGGGACCATTCAGGCTTGTTTGCATTTGTGTTCCTCACGTGTGCCCCAAAGAATGAGGTGATTTGATAAAATGCTATGCCCAAGATTACCATCCGAGTGCCGGCGGGGAAGTGGTTCATATAGCCTCGGCTATCACTTCCTTATTGTCCGGTCGTGATGGTCAAGCGGATTAAGGCGTCCCTGTACATACCAGTTGTGGGAGTATGGGTTCGAGTCACTTCTGGGGTGTGAGTTTTCAGTTGTATATAGTCCTGGGGACCATTCAGGCTTGTTTGCATTTGTGTTCCTCACGTGTGCCCCAAAGAATGAGGTGATTTGATAAAATGCTATGCCCAAGATTACCATCCGAGTGCCGGCGGGGAAGTGGTTCATATAGCCTCGGCTATCACTTCCTTATTGTCCGGTCGTGATGGTCAAGCGGATTAAGGCGTCCCTGTACATACCAGTTGTGGGAGTATGGGTTCGAGTCACTTCTGGGGTGTGAGTTTTCAGTTGTATATAGTCCTGGGGACCATTCAGGCTTGTTTGCATTTGTGTTCCTCACGTGTGCCCCAAAGAATGAGGTGATTTGATAAAATGCTATGCCCAAGATTACCATCCGAGTGCCGGCGGGGAAGTGGTTCATATAGCCTCGGCTATCACTTCCTTATTGTCCGGTCGTGATGGTCAAGCGGATTAAGGCGTCCCTGTACATACCAGTTGTGGGAGTATGGGTTCGAGTCACTTCTGGGGTGTGAGTTTTCAGTTGTATATAGTCCTGGGGACCATTCAGGCTTGTTTGCATATATATATATATATATATATATATATATTAAAATATCCAAATCACGTAATGTAACAAACCTTTCGTAAAATAGGTTATAATGACGTGTTGGAGGCGTGATCACCAAGCCACACATCATTAAAGAAGAAACATCAACACTTCGCTCCGTGTTGGGTCATTATTATGTCGTGCAATAATGACTCAGGACGGATCGAAACGTTGTCTTTTCTACATTTTTTGATTTGGGGATTTGTTCGTTGTAATTTCAGCCATGCTATTGTATCTCATCAACTGCTTTTGGAGGCATACCTTTGTGTGGTACTACAGCGTGCTGTCATAAGGGTTCAAGCAACTCACTAAGAACGAGACTGAAGTATATATTCGTTTACACTTATCCAAAGCAAACTCTGCTAGCTCACAACACTTGCATGAAGCTACAGATGAAAACTTACATCGAGCGGTTAAATGTTTAAACCTATTCGAAGTTCATAGAGGAAAAGATAATTGAAATCGAAAATGTCAACAAATGTTCATATCATGGAGATCCTATACGTTTATATAACCGCGAAATTTAGTTAACTAAAATAAAAAAAATTGTGCGTGAGTGTTTCGAAGCGTGAGAACATGCAGGTATGTGGCGCTAGATGGGGCGGTGAGTAGTGATGGTGTGCATCTCCCTGCTGGTAAGAGCGTGTACTCACCTAATTGTGCTTGCGGGGGTTGAGCTCTGGCTCTTTGGTCCCGCCTCTCAACCGTCAATCAACTGGTGTACAAATTCCTGAGCCTATTGGGCTCGCTCATATCTACATTTGAAACTGTGTATGGAGTCAGCCTCCACCACATCACTTCCTAATGCATTCCATTTACTAACTACTCTGATACTGAAAAAGTTCTTTCTAACGTCTCTGTGGCTCATTTGGGTACTCAGCTTCCACCTGTGTCCCCTTGATGTGTCCCCTTGACGTGTGTGTGTGTGTGTTGTCGTGTAGGTGGCATATAAACCACTGACAAAAGGTTTACACCGCTGGCGATTGTTGAAGCAGTTAAGGAGTATAGGGAAGCCACGATGCGGGGGGTAGGAGGGGATAGGAAGGAGAGTCAAGGGGGTCCTCAGAGGTAGCCATACCTCCACGCGGGATGGACAAGAAGCTATTTATTAGTGAAGGTTTAGATAGGCATAATTCACATCGGTGATAGTCACATTCTTATCAATCCTATCTTGAGTGCTGCATTGAGTTCCTCCTGTATGGACGGTAGAGAAGTATGTGAGGGGATTTTGTGATTTCTGGAAGTATTGTAATTCACCTAGTTGTGCTTGCGGGGGTTGAGCTCTGCTCTTTCGGCCCGCCTCTCAACTCTCACTAACTACTATTTTTTTCCACACCACACACACACACGCCCCAGGAAGCAGCTGTTATGAATCTAGCATTGATTCCAACATTTTCTTGATGACGATGTATAGCAATTAATACTTTCTCTGTTCTGTTTCTATTGGTAGTAAATTTGTGTTCCATTTAATATTGTATGATTTATATAATGTTGTATGATGTATATTGTAGCATGCTGTAGGGTGCCTGAGTTGTATTATTTTGATAGGCTTGTGCAAGTTATTTCTTGTTGGAGGAAGTGTGGTTTCTCCTCGGGGGGATGACCATATATGGATGTGTCCAGAGTGCGGCTGGTTGTCAAGCTAGCGTTTATATATCAACCTTGATTATTTCCTGTTATTGAGTGTAATAAATTCGTGTGATTATTGTAACAGTATTATATACTCTTAAGATTACTGATTATATGGTTCTTAGTACTGCACTTTGTTAGTAGAGTTTTCACAGGAGTTCATGTGGATGCTTAGTTGATGTTTTGGTAGGACGCCTGCTGTGCTGGCGGGAGGCGTGGGTGAGCAGCATGGGAGGAGACATGCTGTGCTGGCGGGAGGCGTGGGTGAGCAGCATGGGAGGAGACATGCTGTGCTGGCGGGAGGCGTGGGTGAGCAGCATGGGAGGAGACGTGGGTGAGCAGCATGGGAGGAGACATGCTTTGCTGGCGGGAGGCGTGGGTGAGCTGCATGGGAGGAGACATGCTGTGCTGGCGGGAGGCGTGGGTGAGCTGCATGGGAGGAGACATGCTGTGCTGGCGGGAGGCGTGGGTGAGCAGCATGGGAGGAGACATGCTGTGCTGGCGGGAGGCGTGGGTGAGCAGCATGGGTGGAGACATGCTGTGCTGGCGGGAGGCGTGGGTGAGCAGCATGGGAGGAGACATGCTGTGCTGGCGGGAGGCGTGGGTGAGCAGCATGGGAGGAGACGTGGGTGAGCAGCATGGGAGGAGACATGCTTTGCTGGCGGGAGGCGTGGGTGAGCTGCATGGGAGGAGACATGCTGTGCTGGCGGGAGGCGTGGGTGAGCTGCATGGGAGGAGACATGCTGTGCTGGCGGGAGGCGTGGGTGAGCAGCATGGGAGGAGACATGCTGTGCTGGCGGGAGGCGTGGGTGAGCAGCATGGGTGGAGACATGCTGTGCTGGCGGGAGGCGTGGGTGAGCAGCATGGGGGGAGACATGCTGTGCTGGCGGGAGGCGTGGGTGAGCAGCATGGGAGGAGACATGCTGTGCTGGCGGGAGGCGTGGGTGAGCAGCATGGGAGGAGACATGCTGTGCTGGCGGGAGGCGTGGGTGAGCAGCATGGGAGAAGACATGCTGTGCTGGCGGGAGGCGTGGGTGAGCAGCATGGGAGGAGACATGCTGTGCTGGCGGGAGGCGTGGGTGAGCAGCATGGGAGGAGACATGCTGTGCTGGCGGGAGGCGTGGGTGAGCAGCATGGGAGGAGACATGCTGTGCTGGCGGGAGGCGTGGGTGAGCAGCATGGGAGGAGACATGCTGTGCTGGCGGGAGGCGTGGGTGAGCTGCATGGGAGGAGACATGCTGTGCTGGCGGGAGGCGTGGGTGAGCAGCATGGGAGGAGACATGCTGTGCTGGCGGGAGGCGTGGGTGAGCAGCATGGGAGGAGACATGCTGTGCTGGCGGGAGGCGTGGGTGAGCAGCATGGGGGGAGACATGCTGTGCTGGCGGGAGGCGTGGGTGAGCAGAATGGGAGGAGACATGCTGTGCTGGCGGGAGGCGTGGGTGAGCAGCATGGGAGGAGACATGCTGTGCTGGCGGGAGGCGTGGGTGAGCAGCATGGGAGGAGACATGCTGTGCTGGCGGGAGGCGTGGGTGAGCTGCATGGGAGGATACATGCTGTGCTGGCGGGAGGCGTGGGTGAGCTGCATGGGAGGAGACATGCTGTGCTGGCGGGAGGCGTGGGTGAGCAGCATGGGAGGAGACATGCTGTGCTGGCGGGAGGCGTGGGTGAGCAGCATGGGAGGAGACATGCTGTGCTGGCGGGAGGCGTGGGTGAGCAGCATGGGAGGAGACATGCTGTGCTGGCGGGAGGCGTGGGTGAGCTGCATGGGAGGAGACATGCTGTGCTGGCGGGAGGCGTGGGTGAGCTGCATGGGAGGAGACATGTACTGAAGTTAAGTCGGTGGACATTGTTTATTTAGCTTATTACTTAGTTAATTCTCTTGGTAAGACTTTTTTGTGATACCTATTTGAAAAAAAAAAAAAAAAAAAAAAATAGATCCGATACCTATTTATTAATTCCTGTGTTTAAGAGATTGTCTGTGCTCATTAAGGATTTTATGATATTATTGCATGATGAAGAATATTTCTGGCTGTTATATTTTTACCATTTATATGTTGATATGTTTGTCGCCCTTACGTACAGTATGGGTGTTAGTTAGTTAGTTTAGTTCATTTATTATGCACCCCATACCCATCCTGTGGGCGGTAGTGGAAAGGGTTACAGAGGCACATAATGGGCTCAGGGACTGAACCCCACAATTCATTTAGCTAAGCAAGTTACAATCTTGATGAGCTAGTTACAAAATTCAATATAAGTCATCACATCAACAATGGGTTCGAGATCGACCTCAAGTACAGGTTCTAAATTAAGCAACTGACATATGTGGAGAGCTAGTGTCAAAATTTATATGTTTGTCCTGCACACCGCCCCCTATCCAGTGGGCAGCGGTGGATAGGTTACAATCACTTAGTTACTACCTACAGTTAGCAAACTGGGGATATTTGGCTAAAATTTCTGGTAGCAGATCATTTTGAATGAAATATTGACACATCGCTGGAACATTGGTTATAGAATTGTCTCTAAATTCACGTATCTTTTCGCACTCCATCACATAGTGACGGAGGGTGTGCGAATAATTTTGTTGACACAGTTTACATTTGGTCAGGTCTACATCAGCAGATAATGAGAATTCCCAGAGATACTTGTAACCGAGTCTAAGCCGAGCAGTAGTAACATCTAGAAGTCTGCTGATTTTATTGGATGATCCATAGATGTGTGGCTCCTCTTGCATGATAGTATGATGATAGATGGAATTACTGGTGTCAATTTCACTTTGCCTCAGATCTACAAGATCTTGTTGAAGTTCTCGGTGTACAGCTGCTCTCAGATTGCTCATTGACAATCCAAGGTTACACTCAACGGCTCCTTTAAAGGCAGATTCTTTGGCTAACTTATCAGCTCTATCATGCATTCGGAGGCCAACATGAGATGGAGACCACATGAAATGGACTCTGGGTGACAAACTCCTTTTAAAGCAGTATTTTTCTAATAATACCCTTTTACATATTACTATCCCCTAGACGAAAGTTTAAGATGAGGCCGAAACATATATAGTTGATCACTACAGGCAAAAGAACCATACCAAGGCGTCAAGGGCTGCAACAGCAGCCCATGACAGCTGACTAACTCCCAGGTACCTATTTACTGCTAGGTAACAGGTTCATTAGGGTGAAGGAAACTCTGCCCATTATTTCTCCTCGGCGCCTGGGATCGAACCCGGGACCACAGGATCAAGCTTACAGCGTGTTGTCCGCTCAGCCACCGGCCCCGGATGTATATTTGTGGATGGATGTGTGTATGTGTATATTTGTTTGTATTTATCTATATGTGTGTATATTTATGCTCTCCCCTCAGTGCTGACATATCAGTGACTACGGTCGGAGGTAAGGAGGCCTGGTCGACGACCGGGCCGCGGGGACGCTAAGCCCCGGAAGCACCTCAAGGTAACGGGGAAACTGAGGTCCAGATCTTAAAGCCCCAGCTAAAAGCATTGTAGTTCTTCTTGCATTGTAATTCTACTTTTGTGACTTTCAAATTCTTTGTCGAATCTTGCCTCAGCACCTCCATTGTTGGGAATAGAGATCGCTTCCACAATTTCTTCTTCCAGTGCATTACCAAAGTCTCCGAAGCATTTTTATTTTCAGCTTCTACTTGTGCCCGCTCGTTTTAATTTATCTCCATATAAAAAAGGCTGTCCTTGTCCATCTTGTATATTTCGCTCCAAAACTTGTATGTTGTGAACATATCCCCTCTATTTTTTCTTTCCTCTAGGGTAGTATAGTCTACTTCACTTAACCTATCTTCTTAGCTCAGGCACTAATCTTATTGAAGATCGTTGAACTTTTAAGTTTTGGTTTTGTTCTTCAGAAGGTGTGGATTCCAGGTTGGTGCTACATATTCCACTATTGTCCTGATAACAAAAGTGTAGATTGGCTTGAAAGAGTACTGATTTAGGTTTTAAAAGAACGTTCCTATATTCGTCAGCGTCCCATATGCTGCCTATGTAACGTTGTTTATATGTGTCTCAGGTGTGAGAGTTAGAATTAACTTCACTCAAATATATTTTTATATTTCCATGTCCTGTACTTGTCTACTCCTTATAGTATAGATATCCAATTGTCACTTTTCTACCTTTTCTATCCTCATTACCTTACACTTGTTAGGATTGAATTCTGGACACCATATACTTGCCCACTCCTGAAATTTACCTGTGTTCCTATAACCTTGTTAAGTTCACCATGGTTTTCAAATTAGTCGTAACTTGTGTCATCCGTTTACATAAATTCACATTCACGTTAATTAGGAACAGTAGCAGTCCCAAGAGTGAGTCTTAGGAGAGCGCCACTTGTTTTATTGCTACATAACCATATTTATTCTCTGACTGTGACTGTTTTCTGTACTGGAAATATGTATTTCCTAACCCAGTTCAGTGCCTTCCCAGTTATCTCGGCTTGCTTCTACGTCTTGTACACTAGTTATTCGTGAGGAGAAGTATGAAGTTAGGTCTAATATTAAAGGAAAATAAAGTCAACTTAGCCTTCTTTTTCTCTATTATACTATAGTAACCTCATTATTGAACACAAGGAGGTTTGCCAGGACCGACATGTCTTTTCTAAATCAATGATGCTCCTTCGTTAAATGTTTATCATCTCCAAGTTGTCCTTTATTAACAACCTCATTTCTTCCTGCAGTACTTTACACTAATCACCTGTCCGGTACACTAGTCTTTAATTCAGTGGCGCCTATCTGTAATCTTGTTTTAATATTGGGACTATGTTTGCCTTTTTAAGAATTTGGGAGATTTCCTCTCTTAAGATTTTTTAAACTCTAGTCAGCGGGTGACAAAGTATTTCTGTAGCCACGTATTGCAAATATGGTGACACTATTCTGACATTTTCTTACCTGACATAAAACACATATGCTGATTTTTTTTACCGCTTTTAGAGTGACAACTTTACCATGGAGTGCTTCTTCTGACCTTTAATCTCTCAATCCTTGTCGTTATGTTTGTTCTTTAGTAAATATCAACTGAAATCTTTTGTTCCTCTTTTCTTTCCGTGTCCTTTTAAATGTGAATTGCCCCCATGTTTTCTCAACCTGATCTCATCGTATCTCACTGTTCATTTTCTGCATATATAGCTAAAGAATAGCTTTCGTTGGTCCTTAACTATCTCCGCAATTTCGTTTCCAAATTAACTTGTCTCCCCACCGACCACATAATTTGCGTAGGTTCACTTTACTGCCTCTCTCTCTCTCTCTTGTTGTCTGTTTCTATTTATCTACTTTGTCCATACATTTATGGTTCTCTTCTTAGCTTACCTGCAATCTTTTGAGACAATGGTTTACTTCTTATCTCGTTCAACTCTTTCTTGAGTGGGATAATCAGCTCTGTTTTACCTGTACATTTCAAGTCAATTAAATTCATCCTCTCATTTTTTGTCTTCCTTTCCACTTTTCTCATTTGATTTCTCTCAGAAAGTCTCTCACGCTTACTGCAGTCCCCACACCGATAGTCTCTCACCTTCCTCAGTGTACTTCATGGTCTTACCAACTCATTTAGCGCCATTATGTAATCAAGCACTATTATGTAATAAGGCATTGGTCGCTGGCTCCAAGGTAAACACCAGGTCTAGTGTTGCTGGTGGGTTCTCTCCATGTATTACTGTTGGTTTCTGTAATATTTTGCTTTAAGATTAGTTTATGTATAGTCTACCAGTTTTGTTTTTCATGACTCATCATCCCAATGGAAAACCTTATAAATAAAATCTATTTATATGCAGACAATGAGTCACAATAACGTGGCTGAAGATATGAAGACTAAACAGCACACCAAAAAATGAGGAGACGACGACATTTCGGTCCGTCCTGGACCATTTTAATGCTATTAAAATCTATTTTTATGTTATTAAATTCTCCAGGTAATAGAATCTTAGCTCTTTCTCACTTTGCAACTGCGGCTTCTTTTTTATTTGCTTTAGTCAACTCTCGTTACATTTGTCGTATTCTTCGCTAGACCTGCTAGCAAGTCAAATAAGCGAACAAGTGCTATATATATATAATTATTATTTGCATAAAAAGTTCATTAAGAATCCTTACCCTCCTTTAATTATTACTCAATTTATGAACATTTTCGCACAGACAAGTTGTTAAAATGTTGACCAAACCACACACTAGAAAGTGATCGGATGACGACGTTTCGGTCCATCTTGGACCATTCTCAAGTTGATTATGATGAGGGAAGGAAGTGAAGGCAATAAAGAGGCAGGAGAGAGGTGAGGAGAAGCAAGGCAAAAGGTACGAAAGGTAAGGAATAATAAAGAGTATAGTAACAGTAATAAGAAAGGGATGGTAAGAGAAAGCAAGGAAAAGAGAAAGAGAGAAAGAAAGAAAGTAGAAAGATAAATGGAATGGTAAGCTTATGTTAGGTCTCATTTGTTAGAAAGTTTAGAGCATTTGAGTATATACTGTGAAAGGGAAGAATCAACTTGAGAATGGTCCAGGACGGATCGAAACGTCGTCTCTTCACTTTCTAGTGTGTGGTTTGGTCAACATATTTCAGCCACGTTATTATGACTCCTCGTCTGCAAGTTGTTAAAATCACACACCTAACAAAACCATACTACACTTGTTTGTGAGAGAGAGCAGCAGTTCCTCACCCAATGATATATCATGAGCCACCGAGGGCGGGACGTGTACACCAGCCACAACAACTCAATGTGACCAACCCTACATATGTCTCTTCAAAACAACATTTCTACCCAGGGCCGTCTTAACAGCATCATGGGCCCCTGGGTAAATCAGTGTGCTGGGACCCCTACGTCA